AAAAAAAAAAAAGGAATGGCCACCTGCAGAGTCCAAGGACAGAGCCAGCTCATGGTGCCAGCAGAGGCTTACAAGGCTATATTGGAGCAGCTGCCAGCCATGTGCTGGTGATAGGCAAGAGGAGGCAGCACCCCACTTTTCCCACAGCCCTGGGAGCCTGAGGGAGAGGGGGAGCTGCTGGTGGGGGCAGGAGCTAGAGCTCCTTCTAAGGAGCCAGGGAGTCCCCCCAGTGTTCAGAAAAGGGATGTCATAGAGACTCAACAGCTCTCCCCTGGAATGTTTCAGCACCAGAGACAGGAGAGAGACAGTCATTTAAATTGAATGTATGTAGTGTAAGGGCAACTTTTTTTTTTTTTTTTGTAGAGACAGAGTCTCACTTGACCACCCTCGATAGAGTCCTGTAACATCACAGCTCACAGCAACCTCCAACTCCTGGGCTTAGGTGATTCTTTTGCCTCAGCCTCCAGAATAGCTGGGACCACAGGCGCCTGCCACAACACCCGGCTATTTTTTGTTGTTGCAGTTTGGCAGGGGCCAGGTTTGAACCCACCACCCTCAGCATATGGGGCCAGCGCCCTACCAACTGAGCCACAAGCGTCGCCCCCAAGGGCAACTTTTTATAACTTTACTTTTACAGTTTTGCCAAAGGGTGGTAAAAATGAACATAAGTTTGGGAACCATTAGCCAAAAGGGAGGCCCTGATTACACAGGACGGTAAGGAAGATGCTAGGAGGACCTATTCTATCCACCAGGATCCATTGGGAATTGACATGATCCCAAAATGGAGAACTGGATTAGAAACCAGATCATGCTAGCAAATCTCAAGGAACCCACAAGCCTGTACCCGCTGAGTCCTGGGTGCGCTAATCTGTCTCTGGTGGGACCCTCTGCTTCCTTCCTTTCAGGGACAAAAACAGCAGACGGTTTTGTGAAGAGCTTTTTAGTAGCTAAACATGGCATCATGTGTTCAAGGCAGTATAAATTATAGTATGCAAGACACACTGGAGACTGAGGTAAAACACACCATTTAGGCCTCACATCACCATGAGGGAAAACACACATACACTTTTAAAAACATCTTGCTTATAAAAAGCATCCCCCAGAAAGGCTTCCAGGGAAGGGACATGAGGCTAACCTCTACCGAGTCAGGAGGACCTATAGGCTACGTGGCTCCAGCCTGGCCATGAAGCAGCCGGGCGGTGCCTCCCCTACTGCCTGCCCAGGGCACTGTCCAGGTTGGCCTTGATGGTGTCCAGGAAGTCCGAGGTGTTCAGAAAGTGTTCATTCAGCTTCACACTGCAGAGAGAACCCCCCACACGTCAGAGGTGGCCCTAGGCCTCACCTTAGGGACCAGCCGGGCCCTTCCACAGCACAGCCATGCCCGGACATCGGGACAGCCTCCTCAGGCTGCCCAGATTACAGGTCTAGGGTTATCCACAGCTCTGGGGCCTGTCCTTTCCAGGTGACAGGAGCCTGGAAACAAGCTCTCCTGGGAGGCGTCTGGGAGAGACTAAAGGAACCCTGAGCAGCCAGCGCCAGAAACAGGGCTCAGCTCACTGGGCCTGGTCTGGAGGCTTGGCCTGAGCCATCCCTAACGGCTATGGACCTGCCCTGCCCCAAGCCCCTGGCAAAGCCAAACTGATTCATGAGGAGACTCTAGGGAGAGTCCCCAGCTTTTTTTCATACAGCCTGAGTTACAGACCACCCAGCACCCTACCCAAGCCACATACTTGCTGAGACCGTGGATGCAGCCTGCCAGGTCCTTGGTCATGGCTCCACTCTCCACCGTCTCCACGCACACTTTCTCCAGAGTCTGGGCAAACCTGCGGGGACAGGGCAGGTGAGGCCCTGCTGAGCATGACCAGGCTCAGGACTCTCTCCTTGGCACTCACCTGATGAGGTCCTGGTTCCCATCCAGCTTCCCCCGGTGCTCCAGGCCACGTGTCCAGGCAAAGATGCTAGCGATGGGGTTGGTGCTGGTAGGCCGGCCCTGGGGACAGGTGGGATGTTTGGGGGCCAAGCCAGCTAGCAAGGAGGCTGCCCAACATGGCACCCAACCCACACGGGTCTGGCTGTCCTCCCAGCCCTCAGGCCAGTGGGACTCAGGCCCTTAAGAGAGAGGCTTCCTGCCACCACACACCTCACACTCACCTTCTGGTGCTCCCGATAGTGGCGAGTAACTGTCCCATGAGCAGCCTCTGCCTCAATGGTCTTCCCATCAGGACAGACCAGCACAGACGTCATTAGGCCAAGAGAGCCGAAGCCTGCAGGGCAGAAAAGCTTCCTCTTGCTGCTGACCCTCCGCCCTTTCCACCCACCACATGGGCCACTGGCCCTCCCCCACTATAACTGAAGGATGGCACAGAGCAGGGGGCCTGGAGCCCATCGCCAACACATGAACAAGCCTCTGTCCCACCTGCAGGCACCTCTGGGCCTGAGGCCTGAGCCCTAGGACCTCCCAGAGCCCCCATCTGGCCCAGCCCCAACCTGTCACAGGACCCGGGAGCTCATCCAGGCA